CACTCAGTTAATCCTCATATCAGTCCCAGGAGGTGGGTGCTGTTATCCCATTTTATAGATGAGAACATTGAGGCTCAAATTAGTTACCTAACTTGTTCAAGCTCCCACAGCCAGAAAGTAGCAGAGCCCAGATTCGAGCCCAGGATCTGCCTACAATCTGGACTCTTAACCAAGTCTGAGAAGGGCAGTGAGGATGGTGAAGGGCAGGGATGGTGTCTGGTGAGGGGAGCTTGGGCTGGAAGCTTGAAGTCCAGGGGTGGGCAGAGCCCCAGTTGGTGCTGGAAGCCACAATTTGAGGCTTCAGCCTGCCACCTGTGTCCCATTCCCTTTCCATGTCACCTCTCAGTTTCCTCATCTGTGAAAAGGGGCAGTGATGGCCCTATTTCTGTGAAGATTCAGGGCTCAGCGCCTAGAGCACTGGGCACAGTGGAACATACTCTTTCCAGAAAGGCTGTCTTGATGTTGTTCTGCGTGGGGTGCTGTTTCTATTGCGGGAGGGGGAGAGCGGGGGGGGGGGGAGGACCAGCCTTTCCCTACTGGGACTCACAGTTTGGGCGGATGTATGGGGGCCCTGTTACCTGGAAGCTGTGGGTGGCGGGCAGGCGGCGCTGTTCCCAGAGGCTGAGGGAGCGCTGCAGCTCCTGTGAGGGGCTCAGGGGGAGCGTGTGGGCCTGGCCCAGGCCGCTCAGCAGGGCCAGGCTGGCGGAGAGGCTGGTCAGGTAGTAGCCGCCTGGGACACGGGGAGAATGGAGGATGGGGTTGGGTGACCTGTTCCTCTCCCTCCCCTGCTTGCTCAGGCCATGCAGGCGCTGAGGGCTCCAGCCCCACCCCGACGGGAAGTGGCATGTGCGCGGCCCCTCACCCTCGCCGGTGAGCAGGGTGGGATCCAGCAGCTCTGACATGTACTCGGCCTCCAGCAGCAGCTCGGGAAGGTCGCAATGGGCCAGGACCAGGCTCAGCAGCGGGAGGAACTCGTCGGCCCCCGCGCCCTCTCCTGTGGGTGGCGGAGAGGGGAGCTTCAGGCTCCTCTGAGGCCCTGCGGTCAGAGTCCCCTCCTTGTCTTAGACAGTGACCCTCCCCTCCGCCTGCCAGGCCTTGGGCAATGTGGTCTCTATGGCAACCTCGAGCAGGGGCTGGGGAGAGGGTGCTCCACAGTCTGGGCCTCAGTTAGACCACCTGTGAGATGGGAGGGTTGGACCCATCTTCCCCCAGCTGTGCCTTTCCTGGAATGTGCCTGGAGGGGCCTGCCTCTGACAGCAAGGAGCCAGTGGGGGAGGAGGGGGTGTACCCAGGTGGGTCCTCAGGACCGTGTAGAGCAGCTTGCAGGCCTGCAGGAGCCGCTTGACCTGGGCGTTGGGTGAGTAGGTGCGGAGTAACTGCAGCAGCTTCTGGCGCACCTGCTCCGTCTCCACCGGGGAGGGCAGGCTCAGGCGGGACCCGAAGGCTGCAGGGCCCTGGGCCCGGGCCAGGCGGAAGCCTTCAGCCAGGTGGCCCAGGGAGCCATCGGCGGAAAGCCTGCGCCGCAGTCGGGCCACCAGGATGGGCCGGAGAGGCTTGAGCACCGAGCGATGCAGGGACTTCTCCAGGACGCGCTCTGTGGAGCAGAGGCAGGCGAGGGGTCAGGGGAGCCAGGGCAGGGTGGGAGCAGAGTCCAGCGAGACAGGGATGAAGAGGAGGAGGGATCCTGTGAGACAGGAGAGGGGGGGGGAGAGAAGTGGGGAATGGAATGCACGTGAAGGGGTGAGCCAGGCGGCACTGTGGAGGGGAGAGAGTGGCATGGGTAAGAGTTGAGATTATGGAGAGACTGGAGTCTCACCCAGTCTATTAGGCGGCAGCAGCTTCTCAGGGCCCAGCTCGGCGCTCAGCATGGCCTGGGCCCTGCTCAGTGCCTCACGGATGCCCTGCAGCTCCTGGGGCTCCGGGCCGGCCCGCACCTGGGTCAGTAGGTCCTGGACCAGCTGGCCCACAGCTGTGTGGCGGTCCTGCATCAGCGCCGAGGCCGCCCGGCCCACCTGCCGCTCGGGTGCCAGCAGAGAGCAGAAGGCAGAGCTCATGGACCGAAGCAAAGGCCGCCTGCGATTCCTGAGACTCAGGCGGGGTGAGGTTGCTGGACTTCCCTGACGCCCCTGCATGCCCTCCTCCTCCTCGGAGCTGCTGGGGGAGCCACAGTCCACCTCCTGGAGGGAGGGCAGGGGAGGGAGGCTGGGGCTGGCTCCCCCGGGCACATGGTACCCCACTGAGCTCTCCCTCCTCAGCAGCTGTCGAGGGGGCATCCTTTCTGTCTGGCTGGGGGCTGCCCCTGGCGGCACTGGGACCGGGGGAGGTGGCACAGCGGGTGGAGACAGGGGGCTGGAGGTCTCTGTGGATACTCGCACTTTGAAACTCCTCTTGAATTTCTCCCGCTTGGTGGGGCCCAGATCCCCTGGGAACAGGGGGTTGAAGAAGCACAGGGCGGCCCCGGTGCCCTGGTCCAGCTCTTGTGGGGACCGGGGCTTCAGCCGGGGCAGCAGCGGGCCTTCAGAGGGGCCTGGCTGAGCCTTGGTGTTGAGGGAGGAGCTCCAGAACTCTAGAGAAGAGAAACCAACGGGGGCCTCAGGGAGAGGAAGGGAATGTGCCCAAAGGAGGGCAAGGTGCAGGCTCAGGCTGTGTGCCCACGTGCCTTCCCTTTCCCCTTGGCCTCAGTTTGTCCACCTATGCAATGGGCAGCAGGGGAGCCCTTACCGACGCCTAAATGGGAGATGGCTTCCAGCTCCTTGTGGGTGGCTGCCTGTCGGATGGCTCTAGGGAGCTGGAGCTGGAGCAGTAGGATGTCCCTGGGGCCAGAGAGGGGGCAGGTAAGTGAGGGCTGCTGGGGGCTGTGGGGTGGGAGGACAGGGTGGCCCACAGACACCAGCACCCGAGGGCAGGCTCACCGGGTGTGGCAGTAGGCGCAGATGAGCTGGACTAGGTCCGGGAAGACGAGCTCGGATCCCTCCAACGAGACGCCTGAGAGACGGGAAGTGAGGCTGTTCTCCGGAACCCCCCGGCCCAGCCTCTGCTTCCAGCCCCGTCCCTCCAGGCCAGTCCCTCTCACCCCCAGGCCTCTCCTGGATGCAGTGGCTGGACACGAAGGAAGGGCCACTGGCCTCAGGCAGCCTGACGCACAGAGCTTGGCACTGGCGAGTGTTGGATTTCCGCACCAGGAACGTCTGGGAAGGGATGGGTTGGAGGCTCAGGACCTTCGTGTCCTGCTCCTCTCCCCCCACCCTCCGCGGGCCAGTCTCTGGGGGCAGGGGCAAGACTCACCCCCGGGGGCTGGGTCCTCAGCACGTGCAGCGCGGCGGCCGCGTTGGCCCGCAGCTGCAGCCACACGGGCCGCGTGAGCAGCAGGCGCTCCCGCAGGCTCACAGTGCGCCCTGGCCGCTGGGGCCCACCTGTCTGCCCCCCGCTGGCATCGGGCACGTCGTACATGGGGTCCTGGGCTGGCCTGGAGGCAGGCACCAGATCTGAGCAGGCGGCCAGCGGCTGGGCCCCTTGCCCAGCCCTTTCCCCCTCCTCTGCCCTGGGACAGACGGGCTCCGCGGTCCCTCCCTGCCCCTCCAGGCTGCCCCTCCAACTTCACCAACTTTTCTCTCTCCAGGTGCCCAGGCGCGGAGGCGTTCGAAGGGCTGGGGGCTCCGAGAGGCCCTGCTCCTGGCTCCCCAGGGGTTTCCATGGCGGGAGCGCCTTGAATACTTCTGGGACTCAGGAAGACAGTCCGGCCCCCAAGGCAGGAGCATTCCCGCTGGTGAGTAACACTTCCTGAGGGCGGTGCGCCTGTCACGCCCGCCAGTTAACTCTTCGGTGTTCACTCGGCCGGGGCAGCGCCACTTCCTGTGTTCCGGGCCCAGTCTGGGGGGACGGGGATCCTTCCCATGCGAGTGCCACTCTGAGGGCCCCAGCTGCAGGGCTGCCGCCTCTGTACAGAGCTTCCAGGAGCAGCCGCCTCAGACCAGGGGTGGGAAGGGGGGGTTAAGTAGAGCCAGTCTCCTGCCCCTCTCGACCCAAGCCTCCTGCCCTTGGGGCACCTTTAAAGTCTGTGCTCAGTGGCCCCACTGTCCACCTTGGGGTCCACCTTGCGAAAGAGCACCTCCTGCTGGTCACAGATGACTCATTCCTGAGCCTTACTGGGGTTCTGGGATTTCAGGTTGCCATGGAGAAAGGATGCCTGTCTCCATGGAAACAAACCCCTTTGCTTAACTGAGGTTCTGGGGGTGGTTCTAATAATCAGCACTAAACAGGGAGTCTGGCTGTGAGGTGTCAGCACATGGCACTGCTGCCGGCTGCCGCCCACGCACACAGGCCTTGCCAATCTGCCAAGCCATGGGCAGGTGCAGACATGACCCAGCCTCCAAGCACAGAGCACTCAGCCCCCTTCCCCATCGGAGGCCACGTGTTCTGCCTGGGCCACATGCTGCTTCAGACTTTGTCACCAGCACCAGGCAGTCCAGGGCCCAGCCCCCCACCTCTGGGGGGATGGGCCATAGGAGGGTCCCCCTTTTCCGCAGTCTACACCCCAAGTCAGAGTGGGTAGGCTCCTGCTGGGTAGTGAGAGGCACCAGGGACCCCAGAAGAGACTGCCTGTTTGAGACACTCCTCATGGGAGCCCCGACTGCCTTGTAAGGTAAATCAGACACAGGTTGGGTCACAGCAGAGACCCAGGAAATGCTTTAATTCCAGTCCCCGCAGTGTGGGAGGCAGGCACCAAGGACTGCCTTGAGAAGACCTGGGGAGCCCGCCTTCTCAGCACGGCAAGAGCCAGGACAGCCCCCCCGCCCCCCCACAGAACTTCTGGTTCAGAGTTCCCACGACGTGGGCCAACACGCTGGCTGGGTGAGTGGGGAGCCAGGTCCAAGGCCAGCAGGAAGGATGTGCTTTGGCTGAAGACGAGGCAGGTCTTCGTCAGGGAGGGACCTGGGGCTGAAGGCAGGGGAAGGGAGGGGCTGTTGGGGATGAGGGACTCAGTCTGGCCCGGCTAGGACAGCTTGGGCCACAGCTGTACAAGCCCGAGCAGGAGCAGGAGTCCAGACCAGTGAGGGCTGGAGGGGAGTGCGCAGAGCAGCACTGGAGAGCCGGCTGGAAAGACCCCGAGGGCTTGTCCGTCTGCCTGGCTGCAGCAGGAAAATGTCAATCCGGGTTTTGGTGCCTGTTGCTCCAGAGGGGCCCGCTGGCTGTGAATCGCAGGGTCAGGGTCCTGGGGGGTGTGGGAAGGGAAACATCACTGCAGGTGAGAGAAAGTCAACAAGAGGGAGTCGCCGCTTCGTCTGCGGAAATGATCCGTGGGCCCCTCAGTACCGGTGGGAACTCCGTGTCCTGCCCCATCAGCTGAGAGCTGCCCCTTCCCCACCCCCACCCTGGCTCCTGCTCCCAAACTCCCAGTGCCCTCAAGCCCAGACTGTCCCAACTCTCTCGGCCACGGATCTGACACGGCCACTGCCGCTCCCTGGGCTCCTTTCTGGAGGCTGGGCTGGGGGAAGGGCTGGTGGGAGGAGGGAAGCCCTGTGGCTCTTACCGTCTGATTTTCTCTTCTGAGGGGACACAGCCGCCCTAGCCTGGGGTGGAGAGAAGAAAAGCCCCCTGAGAGCCTGCCTCTGGCTTGGCAAGTCCCCTCCCCATCAGCCTCCCTGGGGCGGGGGGCTGTCGGCCAGTACCGCCTGGGAGTTGGGGGTGGGGACGGCATGGGAAGCATAAGACGCTTTCTAGACAAAGCTCTGCTGTGACCCCCTGTCAGAGGCCTGGCCAGCCCAGTGCTCTCCCACCTTCCCTTTCTCCCATCCCATCCAGACCTGCCCCGGAACAAGAAAGAGGCCAACAAGCCTAGAAGCTCCCTCCTCCAGGGCAGCCCTGGGCAAAAGGCGGCGTGTGAGCTGGCGGTGATGCCAGGGAACTCAGAACGGCTAGGGCTGGAGCCTGCAGAGCAGACTTGGCGTCTGGGGTGGGGCCCTGCACGAGACCCACCTTTTTGATAGCCGTCCAGTCCTCCAGGATGTCGATCTCCTGCAGCATGTACACGATGTAAGGGCCTGCAACAGGGTCAAGGAAGCAATGCCCGAGGAGGGGCAGGAGGCCTCGGCCGGCGTGCGAACGGCGTGCGAACGCTCGGGAGAGGTAGTGCTAAGGGCACGGGCTAGAGCATGGGCTCCACCCCTACCTCTTGGCCACAGGTTCTCTGGGGTGGGGGTGGGGGGCGGGCGGGGTGTGTGTGGCTATGGCCTATTTCAACGAGTCCCAGAGGGCGGGGGTGGGCCCCAAGCCTCACCCCTACTTCCCCTACCTTGGCTCCCACTCATGCCCTCTCCGCAGCTTCAAGGTCAGTAGGCTGAGGCCCATCTACCCACTCAGGGACCTTGCTCCTTCTATTCCTGGTCCCCCCTGTGGCCCCTTTCCCCATCTACACACAGAAAACACTCTGGTTTCCCAGGCCCCCTGGGGTCCGTCCTCCCATCATCTGTACCCGATTATGTCCCCACGCCCTCAAGTCCGTGCAGTCCAGGCTCCTCCCTCCCTTCCTTCCTGAACCTGATTCCTAAGCCAGGCGGCCGGTGCCCTTAGACTGGTTACTGCAGGAATCAGAGCAGGGGGTGGGGAGCAGGGGTGCGAATTCAGTTCATCTCTGTGCTGGGCTATGCCAGAGGGATAAAGGCTAAGGTGGGGCAGAGGCAACTCCTCCCTCATGCAAGGGTCCAGCAGGGAGGCAGGAGAGAGAAGCCATGGCTGTTGGGGGAAGACCAGGCAAGGTGTGTGAGCTGGCTCCTTTCTGAGGCTCCCAGGCATGGCTGCCAGCTCACATGCCGCCTTTGCCCGCTCAGGCCCAGCGGGTGGAAGGATACCAGAAACGAGGGGTGCCTTCTTCCTCTTGCTGGGTGGCAGGGAGTCCCAGGTCCTTGAGCTGCCTCTGGTGTGCAGTTTGTCATCCCACCACTCTGTGACCCCAGACCCAGAGTCAGGATTGTGGTGCTGGTCCTCCCAGGACACCCCTACCCTGATAGCCTGCCCTTCCCCATCAACCACCTCCCAGGACAGGGGAGAGAACCCTGGGCTTGGGGGTTAGAAGCTGAGTTCAGGTCCCAACTGCACAGAAGTACAACCTGGGAAAGAAGTCACTGCACATCTAGGGGGCTGTTTCTTCATCTGTTTAGTGGACAGTGGGGTGAGGACAACCCCTGCCTCCCCAGAGCCCCGTAGGATGCAGGCACTATGGACACGGCGGGGACTGTGGCTACTTATGTGTGGGAGTGTCAGAATGTCACCCTGGAAAGAGAGCAAGGGCAAAGGAGAGCAGGGGAACCCACTCTTCCTAAACCCCCACTGTGTGCCAGGCACGGGGCCAGGCCCTTTCATGCCTGGCTTCATTCAGGCTCCACAAACACCCCTCTTCCTATCCCCTTGAGCAGGCGGGGAAGCTCAGGTCCGGGCAGGAGTGGGCACTGACAGAGCCGGGCCGGGGGCAGGGTGCTCAGGGCCGGCCCCTTGCCTCACCCGAGCTGATGTCCAGGCTCTGACGGTCCTCCTCCAGCCTCTGGATCCGCTCCTGCAGCTCCCCCTGCAGCGTGTCATAGAGCAGCAGCTTCTCGCTCTGGAAGAGGTGGGAGCAGCTCAGTCAGGAGGGACAGGTGGGCCCCTTACATCCTCCTCCCTTGGCGCCCATCAGTCACCTCCAGGTGCTGCTTAGCTCCCTGCAGCTCACACTCATACTTATTCCTGATCACGTCCAGACAGAAGCCCTTGTAGATCCCTGCAGAGGGAGGGAGGGGTTTGAGAGGCCCAGCTTGGCCAGGGACTCCAGTGCCCCAAAAGGGGTGCTGGGAACATGGGCAGGACAGGGATGAGAGAGGAAGGGACCATGGGTGGGTAGGGGAACAGGGAGGGAGACTGGGGGCCACTCCAGGGCACAGGACAGCCCACAGACCTGCCACCTGAATGCGAATCTTGAGGCTCCGCTGCAGCCCCCCCAGGGGCTCTGTGTATTCGGGCGCTCTCTCAGCTCCCACTTCCTCCAGCCGCACCTGCAGCTGACTCAGTCGTTCCCTGAACAACCTGGGAGGTAAATGTGCTCGTCCGTCAGACACACACGGAGCACCTGGCCCCCGACAGGGACCCATCTAGGCCTCAGCACCAGGCCCGCCTCACCCCAAGCGCCTGGAGACCCAGCCCCAGGGGCCCCGCTCACTTCTCCTTTAGCTCCGAGAACTGCTTCTCCAGGTCCAGCATCTCACTGACGCACTCGCTGCGGCGCCGCTCGTAGTCCTCGTCGTCCATCTCTGGGACAAGAGGGCAGTCAAGGTCGGCTGAGGAGTGGGCAGGCGTGTGTGTGCGCGTGTGTGTGCGTGTGTGTGCGTGTCACCTGAGCTCTCCTCCTCGGACTCGGTCTGGCTGCCACTTCGTTCCTCCTCACTCTCTTCCTCCTCTCCGTTCATCTCGGCAGCTGAATCACCCTCTGCTTCCATCTCTTCTGTGTCTTTGCTTGAAGGCTGGAGTGGCATCTGGGCTCTGGGAGGAGGGGGAGAGCCATCACTCACCACCACCCACAGCTCCAAGCAGGTAAGTGGCCACTCAGGGAGTCAAGCAAAGCCTGGCCGCAGCTGGGGACAGCTGGGAAGCGACTGGACGCGCCACCACCTGAGCACACCCTGGATGGAGAAGCTGCACGCGGCCGGGTCTGCACATCTCCACCGATGGGAAAGGCCAAGGGTGGGCTCCCCGCTGCCTATGGGACTCGGCCTTTCAAGGCCCTGCACCGACTAGACTTGAACTACCGGTCCAGCTCTTTCACCCCACCATCTAACGGTCAATTCTCAAATGCACCAGGCACTTCCCCCCCCCCCCCCCCCGCCTCGTGCTGTTCCTTCTCGTCTCTTCCTGGGAACATGCTGCAACCTGTCTTCTCACTGTGCCCTGGGTCCAGTCCCGGCTCCTGCTTCCTCTGGGACTTCGTGTCCGCAGCACTCCCTCCTGACAGTTCCTGCCATGGAGCTGTGGACATGCTCAGGCAGTCCCGGCCGTTTAGGAAAAGCAGGAACACACAACCTCCCCCGATCACATTAGCTGCTCCACATACTCCCCTCACAGCCACACCGTTCCAGTCCTACTTTCACCTGCCACTTGTCCCTATTGGTTTCTGTATCATCACTGTCAGCTGAAACTAACGCCAATATTTTTAATGCTTATCGTAGTTGCCTTCTCAGCAACACCGAATACTGTTATGTGTTCCTTCTTATATTCACTCATCTAATACTTATTGAAACTCTAATATATGCTAGGTACCCTCAGACACTCTGGTAGGTACTGGGCACAACTGTGATAAACAGACAGTCTCTGACCTCGAGCTGTTTACAAGTTCCTGGGAGAAAAGGGCAAGGAAGCAGACCATTCCTGTGATGTGAGAAGAGCTGTGAGCAGGGGCATATGAGAGAGGCATCTAACTGGGGCCTGGAGTTGCTGCAGCATGAGGGCTTGCAGACGAAGACGGGCCAGACCCATGAGCTGATCTGGCTGAGGGAGGGAACATTCCAAGTAGAGCAGCATGTGCAAAGGCCTCAAAATGAGAGAAAGGACAGGGTGGGGGCACCTGGGTCTAAGCCTCAGAAAGGAATCTGGGCAATGTTATCTAGTGAGTTCTTCAGACCCCGTGAGGGTGCAAGCAGCAAGGCGGGATGTGTGGAGTGAGAAGACATTCATGATGGAACTCAGGGTCACCAAAGGGGAAGAGGGTGAGAACCCTGCAAAGGAAAAGGGCATTACCAAGAGGTGGAGGAGGGAAAACTCAAAGTCACGAAGAGAACTTGAGAAGGAAGGAGAGGTGACAGTGCCAAATGCTGCCCAGAGATCACCTAATCAGAAGACTAACTAGGCCTCTCAACAGATAATCTCTCTGCCGACTAGGGGTTCTGTTTCCCTGTGAAGTTCTTCCAACTTCTCTGGACACTGGTTTGCAGCCACTCCTCCGGGAAGCCTCGTTGCTGACACTTCCTCTCTATTTGCCCATCTCATGTCTGTCTCCACAACCAGACGCCAAGCCTCAGCAGGGCATGGCTGCACATGCACCTTATTCACCTGAGGATGGAGGGTTTGCAAATACAAACTCAACTTTTGTGAGGCAGGAGTTGGCTTTCACTCTTGGTAGCCCCCAGCAAACCCACAGTGTTCTGCTAACCTTCCTTGACAGCATTCCGAGTTTTGTAAAAGAACTGGACTCGAGGAGAGGTTAGTCATATTCCTCAATAATTTCACAAATAATCTGAACCTGATCTGAAAATCTCGGTTCTCCAAACCAGTCTCATCATTTCCATTCTCAAGCCTCGGTTCCAACAGTTCCCAAACGTTGCAATTCCCCGTCACTGTTAAACATATTTGCTTGGTAAAATGCAACGTAATCCGGACCAGAAAGAGCGGGAGCAGGGGGTGCGGTGGGGAGTGTCGTTTACGCCAGGTACGTCTTATTTTAATTGATGAGCTCAATTGGACCACAATCTCCTTCCTTACCCCAGGTGCAGAGAGAGCGTAGCCACTGCTACTCAGAGCTTGTAAAGATCGCTGGGGTAAGGGACGGCAGGCGTTGTGCACATGCAAATGATCTTTTCAGAAAGTGAGCGTCTCCAAGGCGGCCTCCATGGTCCCCCCCTGGAAGGGGACGACTCAGCCCCTCGCGGCGCGCCCGGAGCCTCCCACCCGGCTCCATCCGCCCCAGTACGCGCGGCACGGGCAGGGGATCCCTGGCTCTCCCGCGGCCCCGCACGCGTCCGGCCCGTTAGGTCTCCCCTTTGGCCCTGGCGATGGGGCGGGCTCCGACCGACTCGCTGGAGAGACCGAACCGGGCGCCACGGGTGGCGTTACGCACCGCAGGGAGTGGAGCCTCCGGCCTCAAGTCCGAGACTCTCCGACAGGTGCCCGGTGCCCGCTGCTGCGGGTGCTGGCCGCCGCCACCCGGCTCCCGGAACCGCAGCGCCGGTCTCTCTTTACTGGGAGGCGGGGCCTGTCCGCGCTTCCGTATTCGTCATCAAGAGGTGCCCGCTGGGAAGCTCCCAATTGGACAGCTGGGGCGAGGCATGCTGGGATACCGCGCGCTGGTTTCCATAGCAACCAGCGGACATTCACACTAGCCGTCCGCCTGCGGAAGAAACCCTGGCGGCTTCTTCGCTTCACAGGTGGTGCCCCTGGGTCCGCGGTCACCTTCCTCCAACCCCCCGCGGCGCGAAAGAGGAGAACCCGCGCCCCCTCCGCCTGCCCGGTTCAGGAGAGAAACGGAGCCAACTGTAGTTGTGAACACGCATTTATTTACATTGTCATTGGTAGGCAAACAACCCAGCTCAGTCTAGTCTAGGGTACAGGACTCGCAGACCCTTCTCTTCTCCAGAACTCCCGAGGCCTGGGAGAACCAGCAAGTTTCGGCTTCAGCGCCAAAGCTGAGAACTAAATTCAAAGCCTTTATCTGATTTCTTTACAAAAAGCCCATTTTGTTAAGAACTCAGACCTCTCCCTCTGCACCATTCATACTTCTCACTCTTCTACTGCCTACCCACCCAAGATCGTTAATAATAACAATAACAAAAACAATAATACTGTAATAATATTAATAACACTTCACATTTTTACGAAGCATACAGAGTGTTTTCACATATAGCATCTCATCTGAGCCTCCCAACAGTTCTGTGAGGTAGATATTCTCACCTCCCTTTTTACAGACGGCATAGCTGAGGCTCAGAGAGGGAATAGGATTTGCTCAAGGCCACACAGCTAGTTAGTGGTAAAGCTAGGACTTGATCCCAGCACCCCATATTCAAAGTCCAGTGTTCCAACACCACAGCTCAAGTGGAGTGACATTTCTTACCCCTACCAGGCGTGAGGGGCAGCCTCAGGAGACAGGAGGCTGAGATTTCTCAAACTAGGGCAGGGAAGGACTCAGCAGTGACGGGTGGAGTCGGGGTACTTGGTCTTCAACTCCTGTTTGAACTGGCGGTAGAGAATCTTATTGTGCTGATTTTCAGCTTCCTTTTGGGGGTGGAAATCCAAGGTGTCTTTGAAGCCCTTATGAATCAGGAAACCTTCGTTCAGCACCTCGAAATCAAATCCTGCCACGTGCAGCTCACAGGCCTGTAGGGGGAGAGAGAGGTCAGCAAAGCCTGATGATTATTCTAGGGCCAAGACTGACATCCTAAAGCCGACTCCAGCATCCCCACTCCTCTGGGGCACCCTGGATCTCCCACAACCACCACTGAACTATCATTTCTCCTGCCTCAATGCCCACTTCCCATCCTGGGCCACTCATGGCTCCCAGACCCCAGCACCCCTCCTGCCCCATTTCCCCTGCCCTCTCCCTTATTGGCACCTGGCTGATGCGATTGAAGCCGTACTGACGAAAGCGTTCGTCAAAGGCGGGAACCTTGCCTCCAGCCACGTAGAATGGCTCCCAGGGGTCCTGCCAAGGCACCACGTAGGCAGGCCTCAGCAAGGTCTCTTCAGGAAGGTTGACCCAGCGGGAGTAGTTGGTGGGCGCCTGGCAGGGCGTGCACAGCCCATAATAGAACGGCTGCACCTCGTCCACCTGGTAGAGCTTCAGCAGCTCGTTCTTATTTGCGGGTATGCGGCGGGCTCGGCGGATCTCAAAGGCAGGCACCACGAGCGCTGTCCCTGCCCACTGCTTGCTCTGACCCAGCATTTCCCGCAGGCCTCTCCACAGTCCCTCGCTGGGCACCATGTCCACATCGATCACCAGGGCATAGTTGGCCCCCTCACGAGCCAGATTCCTCAGCAGGTTATTGGGGTAGGAGACGTTGGTACCTAGTGCGTAGTTGATCCCGGGCTGGGCCACTCTGGCTAGCTTGTCAAAGACCTGCTGGCAGGACCGCAGCAGGGCAAACTCCCCCGGCTCCCGGGGATCGGGCACAGCGGCCTCATAGCGCGAGGGGCACACCAGGTGCATGGCTACTCTGGCGCGAATATCGGGGCAGTGGCTGCTCAGCGCGTAGGTCAGCACCGTGGCCAGCTGCGCCTCCTCCTTGGTGGCGGCGAACACCGACACGGAGAGCGGGCCCTCCCAGCGCTCCAACAGGCCCGACAGATGCACCAGGTTGTCTACGCTGGCGTGCGTGGCCAGGATCACATCATCGGGGTCCATGGTGGTCTTCAGTAGGCCCCTGTAGACGCGGTAGTCGCCGCTGGTGTCCAGGACGCCTCCGGAGGCCAGCGCGGCGCGGAGCTGCGCCTTGACCTGGTCCACAGACCGCGGGGACGGGGGGAAGAACTCCAAATACTGCTCTTGCTCCTCCTGTCCGTGGAGCCCGGACAGCAGCGACAGGTAGAGCAGCTGCAGCATCGCCACCAGCATTAGCGCGGCCAGCAACAGCTGGTAGAAAGCGCAGCGGATGGCGTAGGACATCTGCATGGCTCTCGGGGCTCGTGGCGCAGCAGGGACCACCCGGCCACAGCCTCGCCAACCGCCGCAAGCCCGGATTTACCGCAGCCTGCCGAGCGCAGCCGAGGCGAGCCGAGCCGAGCCGAGCTCCGGGCACAGCCCCTCCCGCCCGCTCGGGCCCCGGGAGTGCCAGGGCGCCCCCTGCACGCCTGGAGGAGCGACTGCACTCGCCGCCCGCGCGGCGCGCTTTGCAAACGCTGGCTCTGCCCGAGGCGGCACCGCTGGGTTCCCAGAAACAAGCACCCACTCCCTCCGGGTCAGTCCGTGATCCCGCCCCCCGGACCGACCGAGTCCCGAAACGTTGACGCGCTCGCCCGGGGCTCAGGGAGGGAAACCGCGGCAGAGCTTAGCTGCAGCTGGGTGACGGATGGTGCGGGTTCGCGGCTGCGGCGGGAGGAAAGGAACACACAAAAACCTTTTCTTTCTGCGGGTTCTCCCTCCAGGAGATCCTACCAGGGCTGCGCTGAACAGTGGGTGTAGGAAGGGTTCAGATGGTGCGGAGGAGATAAGGGAATTTAGAAAGGTAGGCTTGCGCGTGGGACGAGGTGGCCGAGTGGTTAAGGCGATGGACTGCTAATCCATTGTGCTTTGCACGCGTGGGTTCGAATCCCATCCTCGTCGGTCGCGTTTTACACAGGAGATGGCTCTTTATTTTCTATATCCCGCGGGTCTGGAGCACCACGCTGGGGACAATGTGATCCAACCAGTGCCCCAGTTCACCACGCGTCTCCTCCGCCTCAGGCTCTTCCTGTACCCTGTATCGGAACCCTCTGGGCGGCGTTGGAGGAGTACTTTTCTTTCGCCTTAGGCAGCGGTTCTCAACCTGTGGGTCGCGACCCTTTGGGGGTTGAACGACCCCTTCACAGGGGTCGCCTAAGACCATCGGAAAACACATATATAATTACATATTGTTTTTGTGATGAATCACTATGCTTTAATTATTTTCAATTTGTAACAATGAAAATACATCCTGCATATCAGATATTGACATTATGATTCATAACAGTAGCAAAATTACAGTTATGAAGTAGCAACGAAAATAATTTTATGTTGAGGGTCACCACCACATGAGGAGCTGTATGAAAGGGTCGCGGCATTAGGAAGGTTGAGAACCACTGCCTTAGGGGGCCCGGGGCTCAGTGGTACCTTGAAGACCAGAACCAAAATTCTGGCCAATGCCAAATTAGGGGCCTGTTTATTAATCAGAGAAGCACCTCCTAGAATCACCCTTTCCCTGACTACAGTAGTGGAATTCACGCGGGGGGAGGGGGGGGGTGGTTAGGGTGGTATTTGATCCTTAATTACTACTCTATTCAACCCAGTGATTTTCCTCCCCACAGCAACCCTCCCAGGAGGGAGACCTTGTATCCATCCGCACACCTTCTTCCTGAACACACACACACACACACACACACACACACACACACACACACTCGGAGAAGTTCTTGAGTATTCTAACACCAGCCTTATACAAAGGTGCTTAGTGAGTGTTTGTGACTAATTGAACCGTGGGTTCTTTAGAAGAGGAGAGTCTGGGGGGAAGGGCAGGTACTTGGACTGATTCATCAATTATAGGTAATAACTATTGGGCGCTGTGAATCTTGGGAAGGTGCTCTGGGACAGGGCAAGGCGTTTCTCCACTGCTCCGCAGGCCGTGGGAGTCAAGGTTGTTGAGCTGAAAAGTGGCCAGGACCCCTGTATTCCACAGCCCCAGCAATAACACCTCCGGAGCTGCTCAGCCCGGGACCGTGTTTGGCGCCGGGAAGGAGGCCTTGCAGGGGACAGGCATGCCCCTGAAGGTGTTCATTGGTGACCTGCTGACCTGTGCCAGAGGAGAAAATGGTGCACAGAGCCTTTCAGGCCTCGGAAACTGGAGGCACAGAAGCCAGATCTGATGCCATTTGGGCTTTCTTTGATCTGCTCATTGTTTAAAACAACAACACAATTTAAATTACATTAGTTGTTAACTTTGGTGAACCAGGAGATTGGACATAAAACCCACATTTCCAGCTTCTGTTTTGAATTCTGGAAGATCTGGCAATACCAGGCTTCGTTCCCGCAGGGTGACAACTGGCCAGAGTGTAAGTGTGACTCCCCCTTTGCAAACAGTCTTTTCTTTGCCAAAGTCTCAACCCCACACCTTCCTGCCCACTCGGCCCTTTGAGCATTTGTGTTTCACCTACGGTACTCATCCAACACCTATTTTCTGCCTCAATTGGCGGGGGCATCTGCCCACAATACCCTCCCTCACCCACGGCAATGCTAGCCCACAGCAGGCGCCAATTCTCGTTTTTTTGGACCAGTAAATCAGAGGCTTCTGAAGTGTCCCCAGGGGCTCTAGTTTAAGGGGGACTGAAAAGTAGTGACTGGGCTTGGCCATTATCAAGGAAAGCCACATGGAAGGGCCAGAGGAAGGCCAAAAGCCCCTCTTGTGGGGCCTGGCCAGGGTCAGGGGCTGGCTGTGATGGAGTGGGGCATGAGACATTCGAAGAGCAGTTAAAAACCATTACCAAGAGGTCTGCTTCCCACAGACCTTGCCCTATGCAGCTCTCCCATCTGGCTGGTCCTGACTTCTAGCTTTTATTTTTATTTATTTATTTATTTATTTATTTATTTTTTTGCCTCTTAAATTTATTTGTCTCTTTGAGTTCCATGAAGTGGTACTATTAAAATGTCATGTAGTATTTTTTTTTCATGTATTTTTGTTGATTTCAGAGAGGAAGGGAGAGGGAGAAAGAGATAGAAACATTAATCATGAGAGAGAATCATTGGTCGGCTGCCTCCTGCATGCCCCACAATGGGGATTGAGCCCGCAACCTGGGCATGTGCCCTGACCAAGAATTGAACCGTGACTTCCTGCTTCATAGGTCGACACTCAACCACTGAGCCATGCCAGCCCAGCTCATGTAGTTATTAAAAAGAGTACCAAGTGTCTGGAAGGACCAGCACATATTAAAAGGATCTATCAGGAAAATAGGATTCGCCATAGAAATGACCTTACTCTGTTAACTTCGGTAATGTTCTCTTGACTGACTTGCCATTCTCTCTTAAGAGAATTCATGAGCCAGAAGAGAAACTTACAAGGAAAGGGTAAAATAATGAGATGGTTATTAATCTGACTTCTAGCTTTTATAATAAATCTGTAACCCAGCAAGAACATGTTTCTCTGAGTGCTGTGAGCTGCTCTAGTAAATTAATTGAACCCCAGGGCAGGGGTGCTGGAGTCTGATTTATAGCCAGTTGATCAGAAGTACAGGTTACAACCTGGACTTGCCATTGGCATCTGCAGTGGCGCAGACTGAGTCCTTAACTTGTGGAATCTGATGCTCTCCCCAGCAGATGGAGTTACATGGTAGGACACTCAGCTTGTGTCAGAGTATGGCCTGGGAGGGAGGAAAACCCACTCATCAGCCCTAGTTGCTTTTGTTCAGTGGATAGAGTGTTGGCCTGCGGACTGAAGGGTCCCAGGTTCGATTCCAGTCAAGGAAACATGCCTGGGGTTGCAGGCTTGATCCCCAGTAGGCGGCATGCAGGAGGCTGGCCAATGATTCTCTCTCATCATTGATGTTTCTATCTCTCTCTCTCCCTTCCTCTCTAAAATCAATAAAAAAGTATTTTAAAAAATAAAGGATATATAACACAGAATGTACAAATAATAAAATATACAATATTCTTTAAAAAAACAAAAAAACAATGTGTAGAAATACTACTGTATTTGATCTTGAATCCTGAAACTTTACTAAATTCACTTATTACCTCTAATAGTTGTGTGTGTGTGTGTGTGTACTCTTTAGGATTTTCTGTATATGTATATATCATCTGTGAATCTGGGTAGTTTTACTCCTTCATTTTCAATTTGGATGTCTATTTCTCTTTCTTGCCAAATTGCTCAGGCTGGAACTTCCAGTACAAAGGTGAAGAGATGAAGTGGTACGAGTGGGGATCCTCTTCTTGTTCCTGACCTTGTGTGTGTGGGGGGGGGCACGGCTTTCAGTCCTTCACATTGAGTATGACATTAGCGATGGATTTTCCATAAATGCCCTTTATCAGGCTGAGGACGTTCCCATCTATTCCTCGTTTGTGGGGTGTTTTCATCTTGAAGTGTTGGATTTTGTCAGATGCTTTTTCTGCATCAATTGAGATGATCATGTGGTTTCCCCCTTCATTCCATTCATGTGCCGTGTGGTGTTTATATCGATGTGTTTCTGTATGTTGAACCACCTTGCATTCTGAAAGGCCTGGCTTTGGTTTTAGAACTCTTAACAGGCACTTAACCTCTAAGTTAAGCAGCCTCTGTAGAGGCAAATGCCCTCTTCTCTCCTGTATCCCTCCTCCTCTTTCTACTCCCATTTAGTCCTCATTGCTAAGGTTCTTTGTCCCCAACCCACTGCTCCAGCCTCAACCTCTCTTCTCCCTCCCTCACATCCTAGGGGCTTCCTCACCCCACCCCCTGCCAGAAGTCCCCACTGTTCCCTGAATATTCCATGTCCATGCCTTCCACACCCTCTGGTACCTCTGCCTGGGGTGCCCTTCCCCCACTCCAGCCCAGCAAACTCATATTCATCCCTCAAGACCCAGCTGGGGGAATGCTTCCTTTGGGATGCCTGCCCTGACTTCCCAGAAGGCACAGGGCCTTCACAAACCTCAGGACAAGTTGCATTGTCTCCTATGGCCTTGGGAACACCGACCACTCCTTCTCTGTTTCAGGGTCACCAGACCAGCCAGGGCCTGGCACCATGAATTGTGGTCAAAAGAATGAATCCTCGCCGAAACCGGTTTGGCTCAGTGGATAGAGCGTCGGCTTGTGGACTGAAAGGTCCCAGGTTCGATTCCGGTCAAGGGCATGTACCTGGGTTGCGGGCACATCCCCAGTAGGAGATGTGCAGGAGGCAGCTGATCGATGTTTCTCTCTCATCGATGTTTCTAACTATCTCTCTCCCTTCCTCTCTGTAAAAAATCAATAAAATATATTAAAAAAAAAAAAGAATGAATCCTCACTTGGGATCTTCCTGTGGCTTGTATGTCAGCTGTCAAGGCCATATATTGCTTCACTTTCCTCTTTGATATCAAAACCGCCTCTGGCTTCTGAGCAGGGGGCTGGCTCAGCTCCCGGTATAGAACAGCTCCTCAGGGACTGTTCACAGAAGGGAGGAGGGCAAGTGGGCAGCAAGGTCAGTGCCTAAAATGGCAAAAAACCCACCGTGCTTTTCTCTGGGTTGGGCATGGTAGGACAGGGGTGTGTGAAGCAGGCCACTCCTCCGTCCCTCAGAACCAGCTGGCTGCCTCTATAAAGTCCATTTCTGAGAAAGGGAAGCCTGCGATGCAGGGAGCCTGGAAGAGTGACAGTCGTCCATGCAGCCCAGTGCTCTGCCCAGGAGTACAGGGCTCCTTGCAGGTCAATATCCCCAGGCCATGGCAGGAATGCTCACAAATCCTTGCCCCCCTTGGGCCTCAGTCATCCCAACTGCTAAATGGGTACAACCATCCCGACCCCACCCAGCTCATCAAAGCCAATAGAGCTGAAAGCACTTTGGAAAGAAAGACTCAGAGACCTCATTATACAAATGAAGAAGATTGTTATTGGACCCAGGAGCAGGATCAGAAACAGCAGAAACGGGGAGTAAGTGCTCAGCGCTGTGCTTTGAGGCCCTTGAGGGAGAGAAGCAGGAACTGGGCTGGAAGAACAGCACCTACAGGGAGGAGGGGGCCCCAGCTCTGCTGCGAATCGGCCACTTACCCCGGGACTCGGTTTCCTCACCTGTACAAAGGGGGAGCACAATCCCTGCCTGGCTCCCTCCAAGGGCCTCAGTGCGGCTTGTGAGAGAGCAGGCGTGGAAGAGCTTTGCACACTGTGAAGCACAGTGCACACATCCAGGCTAACTACAGACCTGGGGCCACGCCCCGCTGGGCTCTGAGGGTGGAGACAGTAAGTGTTGGCAACAAAAACATTGTCTGAGGCCCAGACAGTCCTTTGAGCACCCTCAGATCCCTAACTTCTGTCCTCTCTCCCTGCTCCCCTCAACTTCCCTGGCATCCTCTGTCCTGGGGTCCGAGAGACCTGACCACGGGGTCGCTGAGGCCTGGGGAGAAGAAGAGTTCCTGCCCTGGGCCGGCCCACACTCCCACTCGGAACCTGAGGCTGGGGCCACACCAGCCGCACCCCCGGCAAGTCCCCGCTGTGGCCTCGGATCTCCCTCGATGGCCAGGGTTGTGTTCTGTGACCAACAGATACATGCGCTCCCGATGCTGGGCAGGGCCAGGCCCTCGGCCCCTGCCCCGACCGCCACCTGCTCAGGGAGGCCTTCTGTGCTTCTGGGTAGTGTCCGTCTCTGAGCGTCGCCTCCACCTGGGGGAGGGTCGGCATGGCCGGTGGTGAAGTCTTCCTCGCAGCACCCCGAGGAAGCCCGGGAAGGAGACGGCACCTGCCTCCTCCTGGCACCTCCAGACCAAGGGGCCCCAGCCCAGCAGAGCCTGAGCCGGCTCGCCACTCCTGTGCCCTGGGTCCCGGCTCTGAAGGGGCGGCGAGAAGAGAGCTGCTGGGAGAGCCCTCCACGGAGCCTTCAGAGCAGCGCCTTGAAGAGGAAGGAGAGGGAGGCTCCGCAGGACAGCCCCAGGGCCAGGAAGAAGGTCATGAGGGCGCCGGCCACCTCCCTCTCGTGTGGCAGCACCTGCCTAGAACACACAGGGACGGGAGCTCTTAGACAATGCCCTGCCCAACCCGGACCCAGCCCCAGTGGCCCCGCCCTCCTTAGGGGACACTGAGTTCTGGTCTGTGCTGACCCAACCTCCAGTCACGGGAATGAGGCTCTTCTCTCCGGACTTGTTTCCCGATCGGTGAAACGGGGACTCTGGACAAGGACATCTCTAGGCCCCTGGGGTCCAGTATTCCCGGATTCTAGATTCTGCTGTCCCCCTTTGATAAAACGTCCCCACACTGCCCGCCCCCATCACCTCTGGATTCTCAACTCCATTGTCCCGACACTAATAGCCTATGAACCCTGCTTTAGAGCAAAACTTTAGCTCCCCTTCAACTGAGAATTGGGGAGTATCTGGGCCCAAAGAAATAAGAGTCCAACCCGTTTATCTCACAGATGGGGAAACTGAGGCCCAGCGAGGAGGCCCCAGAACCAGTGCCTGGGTGACTTTCCCAGGCAGGAAACTCCCCAGTGGAGTCATCGTCTACCTAGCTCCTGGGCCGACAGGGTGGCACCAGCAAGGCCTGGAGGCAGCTGGGGCAGGGCTGGCCAGAGCAGAATGAGCCCCCCCTTGCAGGCTGTCCCCCCTCAAAGAGTTAACCCACCTCCCACCCCCAGGCCCTCCCGGGCTGTCCCCAGACCTGGGCGCCAGGCACATGGTGAGAGACACCAGGTAACCATTGGAAACAGCGAAGACCATCATGAAGGTGATGAAGTAGGCGTCCTGGGGGAAGAGGGTGGGCAGCCGGGACCTCTGGGGCACGTGGCACAGCATGAAGAGCGGAATGAACAGGACGCGCAGGCAGACCAGCAGGGGCAGCAGCCGGCTGTCCTGGTCCGGCTGCGGCAGAAGCTGGGGTCAGGGCAGTCCCTGCGAGCAGGGTCTCTGCTCCAGGGGCACCCCGATAGACTCATGCCTCACTTCCCCTGAGCCGCCCTTACATGAGCTGGTCAGGACCCAGCTCTTGGGCCTGTGGAGGGCGAGGGGGTGGGCCAAGGCCACACAGCGTGCAAGGACCGGCCTCTGCCTCTGCCCATCCCCAGCTTGTGGTCTCTCCATCACAGAACGGGAAGAGGCCTTAGACAGCATCTTTGGTTTTCAAACTTGGTTCCTCCGAACATCCCTGGGGGTTCCACAGGCCCCTTTGGGGCGCATGGGGCTGCTGAATGGGATTGGAAGCTGGGAATCCAAGCCCCATCCTGCTTGGATCAGAGCAGCTCCTCTTGGATCTACTGTATTTATTGTGTCTCTTTGAAAGATTTCATTTAATGACGCAGCACCTTGGCTCAAAGCTATGCAAACACTAGGACTGTTGTGCCCGCTCTCACGTGGCGCAGAAATCTCCACGCACGTCTCCAAGCACAGAGGGCTGGCCCTGGGCTGGATGCTGAGGACACGGGTCAACTGGACAGAGTGTCCGCTTCCAAGGAGCTCCCAGTGCAAGCCCGGGCTTGCATACCTCTCGGAGCCGCTGCTCACTGCCACTTGGTGTCTGTCCATCCCAGGCCCAGACAGTTGGACTGTTGGGAAATGCCCGCTCTGTGCTCTTTCACACCCTCTGCTATCCAGCTGCTTCCTAGAACCTTCAGGCCCCGCCCAGGTGTGCTCACCCACATGAAGTACGAGGTCAGGCTCCGGCCCAGGCAGTCCATGATGTTGAAGAGCAGGAAGCAGCAGATGGGGTTGAAGAACTGACCTGGGAGAGAGAGGGGCTCATCCTGGTCCCCACTCCCCTCTTCCTGCTCTCCCCTTCGCTCCCCTGCCCAGCCCTCTTCCGCTTCCCAACACTCACTCCACTTCCCAGGACTGGTGGAGCTGGTCACCATGGCTGTGATGGCGGGGAAGACAGACAGGGTGACTGTGAAGACCAACACAAGGCACAGCGCCGTCAGCCAGATCTGGGAGCCGGAGGCAGGGGTGTGAGCAGGGGGGGCAGGCCTGGGGCCTAACATTCAGCCCCCACCCTCCTGCCAGAGCCCTGGCCCAGGAGCAGGACACCTGGGGCCTGGCTCCGCTGTGTCCGCGACCCACTGACCCTGCCACCTTGGGGTGGACCAGGTGAATACTAAGGCCCCGTTCCGTTCTGAGTCTCTGGGGAGGGCCAGAGAGAGCGGCGACTCTTCCCCAGGGGTGGTGGTTGGGGGTTATATCCAAGGCAAACCTTTCGGAAGACAATGAAAACTGAAGGTTTTCCTGGCTTCTGGGTTTCTTCAGGCTCCTGCTCTGGCTCCTTCTCAGGGTCAAGTTCCAGAGTCAGGGCTGCCTTCTGAGGGCTGTTGGGAATCCCGTTCTTCTCATCTGGGGCAAGAGGAACGGCTGGGTCATGCCTGTGAACCTTACCTATGAAGGGAGAGTCCCAGCAATTAAAACAAGTGACCCTCCTTCAGCCCAGGGTTCAGGCAAAGAGAATTAACAACAGAAATAGGCTTGGCTACTATTTATGAAGCACATGCATGTGCTGGGTAGATTAAGCACCTTGAAGGGACTATCTCACTGCCATGGCTCTATAAGTAAGGACATGGGGGCTCAGGGGGGTTCAGTGACTTGCCTGAGGCCACACAGCTTGGATGTTGTGAAGCTGGAACTCAAACTCAGATGCATTCGGATCCAGAACTTGCATGCCCGAAGTGCTACTGCCTCCCCCTTACGGAGGAGGACTCTGAGGCCCAAAGGGCAAAGGGATGACTTCGTTCATGATTTTTTTTTTCTGCCTCTGCTCATACAAGGCTACCACTAGCGGGGAGGGCTCTAGTTGGAGACAGAAGGCACGTCTTTCCCCGGGGAGGTGCCTCTAGCTTCCTCTGGGCCTCCCCCTGCCCAGCAGGGCCCAGGGCTCACCAGACCGGAGGAGCTCAGCTTTGGTCTCCAGCTCCTGACCTTGTGCCAGCGATGGTTTCCTGGCCAGGTAGTAGCGGGCCAGCTCCTGCAGAAGGCAAGCGTTGGTCCTGCCGGGCTCGGTTGAGGTGTCTGGATCCCTCCACACCCTGTTGGCTTAGAGGCTGTGTGGGGCGCGGCTACGGTGTTTGGACAGTTTCAAGCCTTGGACTGAGGAGAGGGCACAGTCCTCTCATTGCCACGTGCACGTCCCAGCTGGAGGGCAGAGCCTTCCCAGCACAATGATAGCCAACAGCTGGAGCTGTGAGCGTGAACCTGTGGTCCGAACACGTGGCCCCGCGCGCCTGAGTGACAGAGTTCAGGAGCATGTAGCTGAGTGGGACTGAAACCCACGAGAATGATGTAAACATCTTGGTCACGCCCTGACTTTGCCTCACGCATCTGCTATAAAATAAAGACACGGCTTGTGGGTGCGGGCGCTGTCCATCAGAGGAGCAGCGTCCCACCGAGACCCAGCTCATTCTCTTGTCTGTCTTTTCTTAATCCTTCGCTGCCCCCTCTCAGGGTCACTGAACCAGGCTGAGCTGGCGTGGCACATAAGATGCCCTGGGGCTGAGTATGCCATGGCCATGCCGGCTCGCCACAGGCTGGGGTCCCCTAGTGGTTGACTCCTTTGGGGATCAGGACTGGGGCTAGGTCCCCTCCACCTCCCTTGGTGTCTCTTGGGGCGTCAGGCTCAGGTCAGGGCTGTATCTGAGATGCTCTGAAGTGCAGCCTCAACTTCAATGCCAGGCTCACCATGTGGGGCAGGCTCAGGTAACACACGATGGACACGAAGATGCCCACGCAGGGTGTGATGAAGTACCCCAGGGCCGAGGTCTGGGCATCCACGCCGCCTGTGAGGAAACTCCAGCTGCAGCGGGGAGGTGGCTGGTCCCACTTGCTCCCACAGGGACAACAACTCAGGTCCCACTTCCTATAATGACCGCCTCAGATTCACCTCCTGGCCTCTCCCACGCCTCTCACAAACAACGCGGGAATCTGGTCAGGGCCCCAGCCCAGCCCTTCACCTCTCTCACTCGCACTGTACTGTTTGTTTGTTTGTTTGTTTTTGGGCACTTACTATGTGCTCATTATTACTGCATGCTCCTTACAATCTGATGATGGAACCGTAATAACCATGTTGGTGAGGAAACTGACACAGGTTAGGTGCTTTGTCCAATGCCCCGCCACTAGGGGGCAGAGGAACTGTGATTTGAACACAAATCTATCTGAATCCCAAACCTGTTCCTCCTTGCCTCAACCTCACCTGCAGCGACATGTCACTGTTGGCCTCAGGAATCCTGCCCCTGGCTCCAAGTCAACCCAATCCTCCCCCAGTCACTCTCTCACTGTAGAACCCAAACCCAATCCCTATCACCTCTGTCTCCACCCAGTTCCCAGAGCATCTCACTCCTGGCACACTCTCCCAACCCCCCAGAATCCCAGAGGCCACCCTCCCCGCCCCCGTCCCCCTGCCCCCAGTCATCCAAGTCTACTCACTGGCCATGGACATGAGCATGGCAAGAGCAGCAAAGATCCCAGCCAGGCCCTGGCCGCTGAGGAAGAGGGTGCTGTAGGTGGAGGGCATGGTGCCCAGCTGTCCAAAGAGGCTGCCCTGCAGAACTGCACAGAAGGCTGTGGAGGGACAAGAATGGGGACTGCGGCTCAGCTAGGTGGGCCTCAGGGGCTCCCTGGAGGGGGTGTCACAGGACACACTGTGGACTCTGGATGAGGTTGGTAGGCATCCTCTGGGGTAACAACCCCCATTCACTCGCAGGTCTAGGGGTCAGGAGGCCAGCTCTTAGAGCAACGGGGGCCTGTCAGTGACTTTTCCTCTCCCTCTGGGCCTCGGTTTCTCATCAGGGATCTGGGGGCTGCTGCTGGTGCCTTCCCTTTTTGGATACATTGGGCCCTTTTAGTTACAAAAAGGAGGCTGGGATGAAGTCCTGGGCAGGAGGGGGGGCCGGGGGGGCCGGGGAGAGGGCTGGGCAGGGAGGAGGGTAGGGGCAGTGGTCCTCACAGTTGATGAACCAGACAGAGGCCATGGTGATGGAGAAGAAGGGTCCGGGTGTCATGTCCACCTTGACCAACGCCGCCGTCAGGGCAAAGAGCAGCAAGATGACCAGCAGGCTGCCCAGAATCCGCACCGTCTCAGGGATGCTGCTCATAAGGGGGGCAGAGTGGGCATCAGCTGGACCCAGGTCAGGCCGAGGGAGGTGGCAGGAGGTTCAGCCCAGGGCTGGGCAGGGGGTGGGGGAAGATGCAGGGAGTGTGGAGGAAGGAAGGGAGGTCTTCCCTGGACCCAGATGGAGCTGCCTCAGCAGGGGTGGGGCAGGGACAACAGAGGATGGCCTGGGAGGGAGTCCGGAGGCGGGCCTCTCACCACTGGTACAGGAAGGAGTTGAGGAGTGTGAAGAGCAGCAGGGGCAGCTGGGACAGCAGCGTCACCCAGTTGTTGAAGTTGAAGGTGTCTGCAGGGCCAGTGTGGTTGGTGCTCAAGGTCACAATCGTGCTGTTGGCCCCCGCCAGCCGCCCCTGGAAGTACTGCCAGGGGTCCGGGAGAGGGGGGACAGGGTCACCCTACAGCACACCCTCAGGAACCACCCGGCCCCCCCGCTGCCGGCCCCGCCTAGGGATGGTTCGGTTAATTTCTGTGGGGACTGTCTGTCTGTCCTTGTCCTGTTCCCAGAACCTGGCACAGTTGGAGCTCAGTGAATGTGCACTGAATCGAACGGCTGAGATCTGGAACAGAGCCGAGCCCTAAGAACCCCCAACGGGGCCTTGCTGCATCTCCAGATCACCCCTCTCCACCAGTGCCCTGGCTCCAGCCCCCACCGCCACTCCAGCAGCAGCTTCTAGGTTCCTGAGTGCTCACTGAGCGCTACAGTAAGCCAGGCTCTGGCCTACGTGCTGACCAACCACACTCTCTCTGGAACGCACGCCCTGCTTAACCCCCCCTCCCAGTGCCCACGGCTCCCTATGGCCTGCAGGGCAAAGCCTCAAGGTTTGGAAACAGCATTTGGGGTCTTCAGAACCAGAGCCCAGCCTCTCTTTGTGCCCCATCTCTTGCTCTGTTCCCTCCCCTGGAGACCCAAGCCTGGGAGGCCAGGGTCACGTTTCGTTACATTATTAATAGCTCCCTGGCACCCACCTTGCTTTCTAGACCAGAGGCGAATTCAGTTTGGGGTCTGCAGGGCCCAGCACAGAGCCGGGCACCGAGGAGCGTCTAGAAAGCTGTACTGAATGTATATGAACAACCCAGTCCCAGAGAGAACAGCGCTACATCCCTGCCTTCCCTGGCGAGAACTCAGCTCTGTGAGGCTGCAGCCTTCCTCTGCTGTTTCCTCCAGTGCCCCCAGTGCCAAGACCAGGGCGTGGCCCACAGTAGGTGCACATTTACTCTCTGTTGGATGAATGAATGGAACTCGTACTGTGGGTGCCGTTTTGGAGTGACTAGCACAGGACCCCCTGGGCCGGTGGCCTTGCCCTCTAGGATCGGGCACCCCCGAAAGCTTGACCTTCCTAGCCAGAGGGGCACCTCTCTCAGGGGCTCCACGTTTCAGCGGGCGCCCGGGCACAATGAGGAGTCAAAGGCGGCGTCGCAGGGACAGAGGGCGGTTGTGGCCGTGGGGCTGTCACTCCGCCGCGAGTCTCACCGGGATGGCCGTGATGAAGAAGTTCCAGGGAAGGAGCGTGCCCAGCCCAAGGATAAAGAAGCTGACCCCGACCAGGTGGTAGCTGTGGGGATCAGTCAGAAGGTCACCCCGAGGACGCAGCTCCTCGGGCGCCCCTCCCGTCCCCCACTCCTCCCCCATCCTCGCTGCGGAGCGGACTACAGCCCCCATCACCCTGGCGCAGGCCGCGGAGGGAGGCGGCTAATGGGAATTGTAGTTCCATTCGCTCGGCTCTGCGCCTAAGCGCGCCCAAGGAAGCGGGTCTGCGCCGCCCACGGCCACCGGATTTCCGCGCACACCCCCCTGGATCCCCAACTTGCCTGTCCTGCGGGATGTCTCCTCGCGCCATGGCCGCCCCGCGCGATGCTCCCGGGGGGAGAGAGGTGGGATGCCGCACCTGCCCCTGCGCGGGGCCGAGGACCAGGGCGCCCGGGAGGCTCGTTCCGGCCGGCGGTGCGCAGAGGGAGGGGACCGGGTCTCCTCGAAAGGGAGGGGGAGAGGCGTGAGAGCGGGAGGGAGTCGCAGGCCAATTTCCCCGGCTCTAACCTTCCGCAGGCTCCGGCTCGGCTCCGCCCCGGGGCGGGACAGAGCGTCGCACCGCCCCTCTCCATCTCCCGGCCTGGGCTCGGGACCCGGGGGTCGGACCCTGGCCCTGCTCGGGGTCCCCGGACCCTGCGGCTTCCCGCGCAGCCCAGTGCGGCTCGGAGGCGGTGGGTCCGGTGAGACCCCCGGCGCCTCCCCTTCGGCAGGCGGCTGTGCGGGCCCCTGCAGGCGCGGTGAGGCAGGTACCCCTCTCCCCGCGCCGAGACCCGGAGCTGCCCTGGCGCGGTGTCCTGCCCCGCGACTCCCTGTGCTGCCCGAGTCGCGCCAGCGCCCCCTAACGCGGGAGCCCACGGCGGGGCCGGCTCTCCAGCCCGGGCGGAGGGGTAACCCGAGCGGGGCTGCGCCCGGAAGCTGGAGACCGCGCGTCGCCCGCCGTCTGGGCGCTGCGGGGCCGAGCCGAGGGCAGCGGCCGGTGCAGGCGGAGCTCCCAGGCCGGCCCGCACGGCGGACGGACGGACGGCCCCTTCCCCTCCAGCGGGCGCCTGGGAACCGCCGGGTCGTTGGGGCGCACAGCACAGGCTTGGGCCCCCGTGGGGCGTCCTGGCGGACTTCTCGCTGGCGGGGAGGCTGAGCTGTGACGGAGCAGCGAGAGCTTAACCAGCGGTTCTCAACCTGTGGGTCGCGACCCTTTTGGCAGTCGAACGACCCTTTCACAGGGGTCGCCTAAGACCATCCTGCATATCAGATATTTACATGACGATTCATAACAGTAGCAACATGACAGTGATGAAGTAGCAACGAACATAATTTTATGGTTGGGTCACAACACGAGGAACTGTATTGAAAGGGCCAGAAGGTTGAGAACCACTGTCAGCGAAGGCTCCGCGGAAAGGGTGACCCGGAGGGCAGCCCGGGCTCCTTCCTCAGCCTCCGCTTGTGCTCGCCCACCGCTGCCGCAAAAAAAAAAAAAGGAAAAAATTACTTTCTGCGGTCCCAGGCCACATCACATCAAACAAAGTTTTTTTTGTGAAAAACTTTGAAAGATAGTAGAGCATCGTAGTTTTGAAATTAATTTGCTCTAACTCATACAACTTGCGGTGGTTTGTTTTCTCTGCAATCACCGTGCGTATAGAGGATGCTGAAGTGGGAGGCTCTGCATCACAAATTACTTTCTTAAGTAATGAAGTTGTATGGCCACTCCCAGGTCCCGTGTGCGCGCGCGCGTGTGTGTGTGCGTGTGTGTGTGTGCGTGTGTGTGCGTGCGTGTGTGCGTGTGTGCGTGCGCGTGTGTGCGTGCGTGCATGTGTGTGTGTGCATGTGTGTGCGTGTGTGTGCGTGCGTGCATGTGTGTGTGCGTGTGTGTGTGTGTGTGTGTGTGTGTGTGTGCTTCTCCAGCCACTGTGTCCGCGGGGGCTGCTTGTCTGCGTATTTCATTATTGCAAACATTGGCGCCACAGCCTGGTCCGCAGCAGGCGCTTGATAAATGGCGAGTGAAGGGCTCGCAGCGATAGCGAGAGAGTCCAGGGAGAACAGAGGCGGCATTAAATTACACTGACAGAGAAACTTACTGTCGTTTCAGTTTGCTTGCCAGCCTTCTGAAAGGGGGAACGTCTCAATTCAGTGCTAGCATGTTTCTAATACCTGTTAATCTCCTTCTCTAACAAGGGCTTCTGTTGACCGTTTTATCTAAAGAGAAATGAATAACTTTTCTGCTTCTTCTATTTTTATAATTGCTTTATTTTTAGGGCTATTCATGCTACTTTCCTAGTTATGGTAATTGTATACCCTTTGAAGAATAGAGGTATGTGTAGTTTAATGAATAAACTTATTAAAATTAATTAAGTATAATAAAATTTAAAAATGCACTTCCTTGCCGAAACCGGTTTGGCTCAGTGGATAGAGCGTCGGCCTGCGGACTGAAGGGTCCCAGGTTCAATTCCGGTCAAGGGCATGTACCTGGGTTGTGGGCACATTCCCAGTAAGGGATGTCCAGGAGGCAGCTGATCGATGTTTCTCTCTCATTGATGTTTCTAACTCTCTATCTCTCTTCTTTCCTCTCTGTAAAAAATCAATAAAATATATTAAAAAAATAAAAATTAAAAATAAATACATAAAAATACACTTCCTAGAATTAAAAAACAAATTAAATATAGATAAGTTAAAAATATAAATTTGTTTAAACAACGTTTAAGAATTTATTTTAATTTAAAAATAAATCTGTTTATAAACTTAATATAAATTACAATTTGTTTCTGAAAAATGGGTCATTTCAAGAAACTTCGGTAAATGGCAGTGCAGGTGATGCACAGCTGAGGCACAAGTTTCAAAGGAAGGATGTGAGGAGCTGAGGTGGGGGAACACAGCATCGTCTGAGACCTGTCTGAAGAGGATCGAGGGCCTTTCAGGGAGAGAACAGCCTGTACCAACCAGAGATGTGAGAATGTTGACACATTCTGGGACATACAAATAGATCCCTTTGGCAGGCACGGTGGAAGGACCTGGCAGGGGCTCGGCGACAGGCGGGCTGGTTATGACAGGCCTGAGAGCTGAGTAAGGAGTTTGGATTTCATTTTAAAGGAGACGTTCTGAATTCCATCAGAATCAGCCACGCTGTAATAACAAAGATTTTATTACTATCCTCCAATGAAATGAATAGATAATAAAACCCACCTATACACAAAAAGTTAATGTCAATATAAAATCCTACTTGTACTACTCAGGATAAAGAAGTATCTAGTAAAAAAAAAAAAGAAGTATCTAGTAATAAATTGTGTTTGAGTGCGGGAACGCTCAGGCACAGGGAAGCGGTCTGTATAGAACTTCAGTGGATGCAACGGCGGCAAAGGCGTCGCGTCCAGGCGCCTGGCAGACCGGCCGCCGAAAGACCACCAGGCCGCCGTGGGAGACGTGCTTTTCTGAAAGGGTGACCAAGTCTTGGCAAACTTCCAAACAAAACAGAGTGCAGCTGTCCCCCTACAGAGAGAGTAGCTGCGTGGCTGGAAAACGGGGTGGGCGCTCAAACCTTATGAACAATACATTGTGTCCCTGTGTACAATGGGGTTGGGGTCTAGCCTCATACAATGACCAGCGTGGTTTAAAAAATATAATAATATATCTTATTTTTTAGTACAGTTTTAAATTCCCAGAATAGTGGAGCAAAGTACATAGAGTCCATATACTCGCCCTCCCACCCCATTCTGTTTCCCTTAATGACAGCCATGGGCTGCGTAATGATGTTTTTGTGGTAACCACAAACCGCACATGGGAGAGTTTTATGGATCGGGGTTTGTCGACTTCAGTCCTGTTGTCATTTTGTCAGACAATTCTATTGTGGGGCTGTCCTGTGCCTCCTAGACCACACCCCCTACATGCCAGGAGCACCTTCCCCAGGGGCGTTAAACAGTGTCTCCACAGATTGCCAAATGGCCCCTGGGAGCAAAATTGCCCCTGGTTGAGAAACCTGTTCTGGGGCACTTGTTCTCAGCTCTGGGGCCTCCGAGCTCCGCCTCTCCCCTCCCTGAGAGCCCAACCCAACACCCTCTTTTTATAGCACATTTTGTAACACCACTTTGATCATCCTGAAAGCGATTTACAAGTAACATAACCCATCCACACAATGTAAAAGCAATGCTAATGCCCTAAGTGTAAGGCAAAGGAAAGCTGAAATGAATAATTTATAATAAAAGAGTAAGTATCTCAATAGGTAAGTCGTTGGGCACAACTATAAAATAGAGTTTGATGCTTGTACTTCTAATAAATATGCTTAGATTTAAGAGGAGTTAGAGGATCAGAAGGTAATTCAAGAAGAACAGGAAAATGAAAGCACAATGATACAGGTGAACACCAGAATAAGAGCACAGGAAGGATAAGTAACAGCAGACCGGTCTTATGTGTGTGTGATAAGAGAAAGGGATACACAACCTTCATTGAAATCTATATATCATGCCAAAGTACATTCCTGCTGAAGTGGAGAAAATAAGAAGTTATGATATTTTTGTAAATGACCTGAGCTTTATTTATGTTTTCTGTCAGAATAATTCCTGATATAATGACGTGGGATTGTGTCACAAGACATGTCTCCTGTTTTGAAATCTCACTTCATGTGAAGGCATAGAGAGTCCCTAATACTCAAGAAGCTGGGGATCATAATATCTTTTGGTACAATAATAGAGTATGGAGTGGATTGCAAAGAATAAGCAGGAATATGAGATTGTGGTGGGTTGGGTATGTTTCTGGGAAAAGTGCATGAGTAAGATTTTTTTTTTAAATCTAGGTAATGCAAAATAAGTAAATACAATATGCAATTTTCATATTATAGATTTCTTTTTTTATATCTTTAATGATTTTTTTTACAGAGAGGAAGGGAGAGGGATAGAGAGTTAGAAACATCGATGAGAGAGAAGCATCCATCAGCTGCCCCCTGCACACCTCCCACTGGGATGTGCTCACAACCCAGGTACCTGCCCTTGACCGGAATCGAACCCGGGACCCTTCAGTCCGCAGGCCGACGCTCTGTCCACTGAGCCAGACCAGGCAGGGCTTGTAGATTTCTTAGGGAATTATAAATACGTTAAATATGACTTCATTATACAAAGTTGCCTTAAAACAACCTTTATTAATTAAATGCATTGAGATCCTGCATTTCACTTATTCCCATTAATTAATAATATTTTGTTCTGGCAGAACCTAGAGATAGAACCTAGCGAGAGAACATGGCAAAAGATCCTGGACAGAACCTGGCTACAGAACTTGGCTGGAGAACCTAGACAGAACATGGCAGGAGAACCTGGATAGAACCTGGTCACAGAACCTGGTCACAGAACCTGGCCTCAGAACCTGGCCTCAGAACCTGGCGACTGAACCTGGCTGGAGAACCTAGCGAGAGAACATGGGTACAGAAACTGGCAAGAGAACCTGAACAGAACCTGGCAAAAGATCCTGGACAGAACCTGGCTACAGAACTTGGCTGGAGAACCTAGACAGAACATGGCAGGAGAACCTGGACAGAACCTGGCTACAGAACCTGGATAGAACATGGCAAGAGAACCTGACTAGAACCTGGTGACTGAACCTGGCTGGAGAACCTGGACAGAACCTGGCTGGAAAACCTAGTGAGGGAACATGGCTACAGAACCTGGCTGGAGAACC